CCCTGCGGGGGTTGCCTTCATTGTTTTTCCCATTTCGCGTTATTTCCATACACACACGTGCGCGCCCGACTTGGGACGACGACTTTTCGAATGGAAATAAAACCCGTTCGTCCGCCCAGAAAACACTTGCCGACGCCGACGTTATCGTTGATGGCTGGGAGTGCGCTCGAACAGCTTCGGCGACGCGATACCCCGGGAGAAGTCGGGAAGGCTCATTCGAGCGATGGGGTGGCGTGTGGAGTTACTTTTTAGTACTAGTAGCGTGCTAATTTTCATTTTCACTTTTACGCGTTCACCAACCCGAACGTGCCGAGAACACGCGTTTGATGGACTTTTATAGAAGAGTCGATTCGCGATGCAGCCCAGGAACGATGGCTACAATTACGTTCCGAATAGATTTTTTTAATTAACTTTCCAGAGGGGTTTTTAGTGCCCATTTTTTTCCACGTTGTCCGCTCCTCTCCCTCGCTTCCTGCGAAACGCTCGTTCGCTTCATCCGGTCTTATAATGTCTTGTCTTCTAATTCTGGAGCTAATTCTGGCAGCATCGACATAATACGTACGAAGCGCTGTTCGTAAATGTTTGCATTAAAGCTGAGTGCTTATTGTGATGATCTCTAAATTACTTCAAATTATTTTTCTTAATTCACTTAAACATACAATATGTTTGCGCAATATGAAAGTTAAGTAGAAACGCAATTAAAACTTAAAATCACTTTGCTTTGCACATGATGTGATTTGATTTTAAAATACCAATAAACATCAATTGGTTGGTGATTTTCAAGAGCACGTTTTGTTCTAAGAATTAGCCAGGGTCGCTCGAAAAATTGGCCTAATAGATAATTTACGGCATCACTCGTCTCTTGTTTTAAGTCGACGGCTTGCTACTGTTTTGTCGAGATAACTCCGCTCGTTAAGAGTTGTTCGCGTCGAGGAGTTGACGCTGCACTTATTTTTTCCTCTTTCGTGTTCTTTATTGCTTGTGTATTTTTGAAGTTGCGTCGCCGCTTAAACTTAAAAGGATTTCCAGCGCGCATTTTCGCTGTGAGCCACTCTAATTATTGTGCGCGAGATGTTTTCGAAACAAATAACCCGCATCTTTCGTCTTGCGCCCCGCGTGCAGCCGCCACTCGCATCTAAAAGGCTTTTGTTGCTTTCAAGCTCTCTGATTCTCTGATTTCAAGCTTTGCAAAGCAGTTCTGCGTTTGCGTGTTCTATTAGTTTTTTTCTCTTCCTTGCTGCTATGTTTTAGGCAGGGTGTTTTGTTACAAGTGAAAATTACATATTGTTTCAAAGAAATTAACAAGGTGATGTTTTTTATGTTTAATTAAAAATAATGGAGGTGTTGATTAATTCTAGTTTTTAAAGTTCATAGGAAACAAACTGGAAGTTTACAAGTGGAAATTGTCAAGTGTACAGCAAAAACGACAAATTTTCAAAGTGCAGATAAGCCCCTACAAAGCATGGACAAGTTTCCACACTCATGTACACATGAGTGAAGCATGGCTTTTGTGCTAGTTGCCATACTTACGCTCCTTTAATGTGTCAACTTGGTTGTTTCAACCTTTCACGTACCAAGTGTTTCAAAGTAAATGAACACACATTTTGAAAATATTTGTTGCTTTCTATATTTAAAATGATGGTTATCATTTTTTGGTTAAATCATTCTGTATAAGTTTTACGACACATATGCAACACAACACACATGTACATCCATCCGGTCACGTACAAAAAGACTTTCCAAGTCCTCGACACTACCGTCTCAAGATGATGTCCCGTTTGGCCGGTCTCCATGCGTGTAGATACGATGCGAAGAGAACTGCCTTTCCGGCTCCATTTTCTTCTGATATCTGACTTTTGACTTTGTTTGCCATTTTGTGTCCTTCAAGTATTTATGACGGCGTTCTTCCTACTAACCTATGCTTCAATTCACGTGCGACCAAAAACATTTTAGTTTCGTTTTTTAAGAAAGAAATTGAGATCGGTTAAAACGGGCAATGAAGAGGCGAACACAAATGGAAAATGAAAACGGGGGAAAACCATTTATGCTAGCGTAACATTTCTCGGTTAGGGCGGTTAAAGTTGAAGTATATGAAGAGAAATATGTGTGCGGAACAGAAATACGTATTAGCGTCTCTCGGATGTGGCAGAAATATTAAGCAAAAGCGGCGTAGGTCTCGAGGAAAGAAAGAAGCTGAGATAAAAAGTTGCGTAGCGCGAGGCATATTATAAATAAAAGCGTTTATTTTTATTGCGCCCGGGTGCGGGTGTCTACGAGCGATGCTGCTGTGTACGAGTGGGGAGTAATTGCGGTCAATAAATTCTCTCGATGACACACTAGCGCTACACGTATACGTATTTTATTGTTGCGTTACGGGCGAAGAGTTGGGGCGTAACGAGTCGAACTAGGGAAATAATAAAATGCGTGTTTTCCGCTTCCGTGTCGCGCATAGGTGCACTGCGATATAGTATATATTCTATATAATCCAAGATTATGTTTTTAAGCCCCAATTCCTGCATTCCTCTCGCCAGAGGCACGCTGAACAATGCAGGAGATATTTCTCTCATCTATCTTAATTTTCTTCTACACCCTGTAGCGCACTTATTATTTTATTCCTGGGGGTCGCGCCGTGTTGCCGAACATGCGAAAGGTGCCACCGAAATTAGACCCATGTAAAGCGTATAAACAAGTCGCGTAGAATTAAAAGTCAGAACTTTAAAAAGCCCCCGAGCAATTAACTCGTTCGGTATGCCAGGGAGATAGATGATATTCGGATGAGAATTGAAATTTAGGAGGGTGAATGTTGAATGATTCATGGCTTTGTGTGACTGCGGCCATACTTTCAGCTCGAGGCCGAGGAGAAAAATTAATTACAGTACAAAAGTTTAAAAACTTCATTCGTACCTTGGATGAATTTGCTTTTTACATTTCCATACGAATACCATACATACATAAACATAGAGAGGGTGATAAAAAAACCATTTTAACAAATATCTGGTATTAGCTATGTAGATTTTTTCTAATGCTTCTAATTTAATTAATATGTGTTTTGGAAAGATACTGTATACAATCGAAAGGAAATCGACGGAATCGTTGCCAACTGGTGGGAATTCGGAAATTCGGAAAATATGTCTATGACCCCCAAAGGCGAAAACAAGTCGGCTGTGTGCCAGGGCATCATTATTGAACAGCAGCCGACCATAATTGAATTTCGTTTCATTTTTTTTGGTGCCCGCTTTCCTCTGCTTTGGTGGAGGTGCCGGTTATTCGTTATATACACCTACGTATTACCCACGCGTTACGGCATACGCGCTTCATGATAATGTCTCTGTCGGCGTAGTTGGTGTGATATGGCATTATAAACCGTTTTTATTTCAATCAAAATTCGATTGAACGGAAAACACGATTAATTCTCGCGGGACGGGGCGTGCAAACCTAACCGGAAACAGCGCTTGATGCCCAAACAAAAATTGAAAATTATGTTTTTGTATGCAGGGGTGATTTCATTATTTAATTTAATTCAATTTCCTCTTGTAAATATCTCTTCGATAATTTTGGTGTAGTGCTAGAAAAATAAAAAAGGTCTGAATTTTTCAATACACATCGAAACAATAGTTGGTAAAGTTTATCGTGTAGTTTTCGAGTTGTTTCCGCAGAGGGCTTTACTGTCGCAATTTCTGCGGCGGCGTGTCTATAGAATTTTCTATTTTTCTAAGTTTCCAACATCGATTTGCCGATCCGCGGCGGCGGTGTTTTCGTTTTATTTGCGCCGCCACAGTCCTCGGAAATTGATTTTCCGGATATTCACATTCCATAAGAAAATACTTGGCATATTGCAGATAGTGCAAATATTTGCACCGCAAATACTTCAATTAAAACGCGGCCAAATGCGTCAAGTGTGTACTTTATGGCAACATGATTAAAAATTAAAATCAACGAGATGTAAACACCAAATAAAATTCACACTATGGTTTATCTCTTATTCTGAAAAGTTATTTCTTCATCCACTTGAAATTAAACCTTGCCTAGTCGACACCACACTGCCGACAAAAATAATAAACTTTAATAATTCGACCTAGGCGCTGTTTTACGACCAGTTGTGGTCAAAGTGCAAGTGATTAATTATGCAGGAGCTTGTTCAACAAGCGGAAATCTGTGCCAACGACGACCGACGCTGTGGAAAACAATTATTTATTTAAATATACTAATTGGATTTTTTTCACGTTACTTTTACTCGTAACGAATTTTATATTTGGGTAGTTTCATGGTAGTAGTATGGGCGTTGTTTGTATAATAATAAGTAGAAGTTGGATAAATGTTAGCAGTTTACGAATTAATAATTGCTCTCGTTTTCGTTGACGCGCAAGATGAAAGTATTGTCGGAACGTCAGTCTTTCGCGTGTTGCTGACGCGAAAGGTGTAAAATTGTGTCTACTTTACGCGCGCGGGTCTTTGTAACAAACTCTTTAAAGTAAGGAAAGTATTACAGCACGAGAAAAGTAAGTCAAGGTGTAATTTTCAGTTTTATGTTGGGTAATAATGTTTTCGCCCGCCGCACACAGGCTGAGCGTGCAGCGCCGTGGAAAATATTATGTGTACATGCTGCTAAGAAAGTGTCTGCAAACTGAAAATTGTCTTTTTCCCGCGTGGATGGTACGTACTTTATTACGAGGACAAAACATTGAAGAAAGTTAATACGGTTTTGTTTGCATTTCGTCGACACGCTATTTGGATGTTACGTTATACGGACGACATAATTTTAATTTAATAAATTATGAATTTTGACGGTAAATGAGCGAGTAATAATGTGCACACATTTGACAAATAAACACAACCAACGAACCGAAATGTTTGGTTTGGTATTTTCACGAAATCGTTCCTTGACTGTTCAAACACTCACTCCGTCTTGTGCCCTGTTTATAGCTGCTTTGTCTCATTCTAGTGCGTGTGTGCAAGTTTAGTGTTTTGTACTAATGAATTATTTATGTTTTTGTTTCTAGAATGGAGAAGCACCGAAATTGAGGCAAGCATTTTCTCGGTCCCACATCGTACCCGCATTGCATTCACATTCAGGATTCGCCATCCTGGAACTGAACTATTGAGAAGAACGAAAAGGTGAGTTGCATACCTTATTATTGCGCGATGTGTTGTCCGTCCGGTGGTCACTAGAATGCTCATTTCCATTCCGGGCGCCTAGGGCGAAGGGAAACCGGTAGCGTTAACTTACCGAGGTTTTGGCCCTTACTAGTTAATTCATAATCTATAGTAACAACACGCGTTACACTCGCCTATTAATATTACATGCTCAAATTTTAAACCAAGTCACGGATTGACATTTGTGTAAAGATATATAAGACTCAATTTGACGTGCAAATTTTATATGCAGGACTTTTCGTATCGAGTTTGCAGAAAGGGCAAAATGCGCATATGATTTGAGCTTGCAGGTTTTATTTTTTGTTTCTTTAGCTATTTTTTACGGCGTTGATATTTTGCTGACGATGAAGGTATTTATGTGCGCGCGCCGCTTATTGAAATGCGAAACACACTCATGAAAAGAAATCTTGAAAGGTATTGTTAGCTTTTGAAGGAGTATTTAAGGAATTCAACGCACGAGCACAAAGCTTTCGCACGTAGTTTTTGCCAATTTTTCTTTGTACGCATCAATTTTACACATACATTTTTGTAGTAATCAATCGTTCAGGAGAATAATATATTTTGCGTGCAGAAATGCCAAGTATTCAGAATTAAATAAAAAAGCCGAAAAGGGAATTTTCTTGAATAAATTGTATTTTCAGGCAGACAGACAGGACAACTTCACATAAATCAATATGTGATACAAAAGTCCAATTTTTATAGTTGGCTAAGTTTATTTACGTCCATACCATAAATTACTTCAATGAAAATGGGAAATATTGTCGATTTATAACAAAACTCTTGTTTTTGATACGTATCATACAAAGTCTAAAATTATTAAAGCAGGTTTAGAATATTTTGTTCTCCTATCTAATGTTGTTGACTCTACAACACCTTGTATAACATGTGGGTAGTAGTTGAAGCATAAGCAATTTCTAGAATAACCGTGTCGCACCAGGGCGGTCCAGTTTCGAAAGGCTTACGCCCGGCTCCGTAATATTTTTCAATATTAGTCTATTAAAAGTTTTATGATAAAAGTTTTATAAATCTGGTTTCGGCAAGTATCTCTTAACATCCTGGGTGGGGTGATGCGGTGCGATGCCGGCACGTTCGCCTTCTTTTTATTTACGTTTGCACGCCGTAATTTGTAGCCCCCAAAGTGCAATAACACCATGACAATCAAATCAGCGACGAAAAAGGGAAAACAATTTTCGGTGGGGAATATCGATCAACCTAATAAATTTAATAGAGAATACCCCGTAACTTGGTGCGGCAATAATCTTGTCAAAATATAGTGTTCGTGGTTTGAAGTTTAAACGAATTATCTCGTCTCGGTTGCGTTGAATAAAATTATAGTCATTGGATCTATCCATAGGTTTTGTATCAGCGAAAAGTTTAAATGCTTTGATTATACGTTAGGCATGTTTCATTGGCTGGATTTCGAGCTAGTTCTTTTTTGTTTCATTCGAATAGGTGTGGCATTAAATATGAATCCACTTCCTCGATCAGGTGAACTTCGTGTCTATTTTTCTTTAATTGTGGGGTTTTATATTACGGAATTAATGTTCAAGTGTCTTTGCATTGGAGTATTCTGTTTGGAATAGATTCTGAACGCGTGTTCTATTACTTAACTTTTTTTAGTTGAGTTCCATATGGCACGCTCTTTGTGAGCGCATTCGTCGAAATATTTTTGATTATTCTTTCCACTAGAAGTCACGGCAATACTCTTGCTGTACAACCTATCATCAATGCTTGCGTTTAAAGAAACCGTCAATAGAGCTCACGTTTTGTTCTATTGGATAATAGCGCACGCAAGAATAAACTTCAAATATTTTCGATGTTTAGCCGCATGTTATAATAAATTGCTTAACTATATAAATGCGCCGCGTTTGAAATTATTATGATGGCAACTGAAAATTTAAGATTCAGTAGGGCTATCACAGAGGACTTGTCGAAAAATGAACGTACAAAATCAATTATCCCCACAATGGAATGATTTAATGCAATGCGCAAGTGCACAACCATGCGCACTCCATGAGGGATGAAATTTCTCAATGCGCATGCATAGTTTATAAAATATTAGACACTATGTACTTCTCCAGTTTGCACTATATTAAAGCGACAGACGCAAATGGTGGGCCGCATGAATTTATAATTGTGCGCCGTTGCATTATTCATAAAATAATAACGTTTTCGCATACTTGTTCATAAATTTTCGCAATTATACTGTATCACAATTGCATTCCCATAAATTTGCAATACTACGTCGTTGTTTAATGCCTTCACGATTTAAATTGCGAATCAACTTTCAAATCAATACGTTTTCCGCTCATACAGAGAATTTATTTATTGTTGAGGCAGGATGAACGACATTTTTCCTCAAAGTTCTACGAGTGAGACACATTGTATGAAAATTGAAAAGTGTAAAACCTTATTTACTGCTCGCGCGTGAAATTGATGAATTTTTAAACTTGTTTATTGAGTTTTTGGACGGACGACGTCGGAGTGCTTTCCGTTCGCCGACTCTGCGAACCACCCGACGTTTCCGTTTACTGTTTGCATATTTTATCGAAAACGAAATGCGAGTTGAACGTACAGTCAGCTTGTGCATATCTCTAATCCACTGACATACGTTATTCTCTAATGGCAAGCCGATGCATGCACTTTTGAGCGCAATAGGAAACGTCTGAGTTCGATAGTAAAAGTTGTTCAGCAATGAATGGAGCACTTCATTTTTGCAATTTCCTACGCTTTATTGATTTTTTCACGCGGAGTGTATGTTATAAATAGAGCTTGCAAACTTCTATGGTAGGTACATGTTTTTTTTTACAGTGCAGTTGTATAAACGGAGAACAAAAAAGTTGTTAATTGCCGAACACCATTTAATTAAAATGAAAGGGGAAATTGTCAATTTCAGTGTAATTCGAAAGTAGTTTTCACGCGAAATTAATTCAATCGTTTTTTTGTTTTATCGATTTAGTTTGCAAACCAACGAACTGGGCATTGCAAAATTAAAATAGATGTGTTCAAGCGCCAACGTTTTCTTGAATTTCTATAGATAAGATCTGGTCGTTGTTGAATTACTTAATTTCCGCCTTAATTTATAGACATCAATTAATTTCGCTTCGTTGATTGTTCCGTTGATAACGTTTCCGTGTTTTTTACGTTTTTGGTTGCTCTATAAAGAATCTAGCTTTGATATATTTGTAAATCTAGTATTGATTTATTGTTGGTTTTACATCGTATTATGAGTTTTCTAATTGATTGTACGACACGTATTAAATATTGACAAAAGTGTCTAACATGAGTCTGAAATTAAGGCAACCAATAATGTGGCCGTGGCCACATACGGCATACTATTATACTTTAATATCAGAAATCTCCTCGACCATATTCTATTCAATCAAAATTAACTAAACGAATGCCCATGTAACCGGCTTGAAATGATCAAAATCGAAATTTTAATGACACTTGATTATGCTTTTTATGCTCGCACTATTGATGGTCACATCGCAGGCTAACATTAAACGTAATTTAATACCGACACATTTCCTTCCTAGACTTGTCCGCAATTGAAGAATCTTTCATATTATTTATGGATCGTTACAATATACATCTTATAGTTGGTATTTTGATAATACGATGTGCTTGCAATAACTATAAATAAAGTTGCTTGGACAATTTTTATAATTTGTTTTAAGTGCAGTTGCCATCGTTCGAAGTCGATGCTCTGACATGATTTTACGTGAGTAGCGGTATTTAAAGTTGTTCTGCCTGCGCCGAGGTGAAGTGGTGCGATGGCTGGTTAACTGCGGGCTTTTGCCTTCGTGTAGTTCAGTTCTTATTTATTAATAATAATAACACCTTGTCCCAGCTTTCTTGTGGTGCCGTTGCCCGGTGTTCTTATAACTATTCCGTGTGGCTGATGAAGCTCTGATGAGGCATAGCGTTAGCAAGAAACGAAGCGAGATGAAAGGAGCGTTTCGTTTCGGTTCATTACATCCTTGCGCTTCTCGTCGAATCGTCGAAAATAATAAAGCAAAAAGCCCACATTTATGCCCTCATATTCCAGTAATATGGAAATCGTGCGTTCAGTGCAATTGCAGCTGAGAAAAGGGATTTTTAATGGGCGCGGTCATTACGTATCTGTAAATTTTTACCTTACCGACGATCACGTAAAATTGTGGCAATAATACTCGTATACATTGCTGACATAGTTTTTTTCATTGCAATAAGAGATGTAATGGTAGTATGCATAATGCCAAATTCTGATTTCCATATCTAAATTGGTTTGTGCAATTGATTAGAAGGACGATAATAAATTGACCATTGATGAAATTATCGATTTCCCCACTGTTGCTTGTTTTCGTGGAGGGCTTTTCGGCTGGATATCGAACGTGTCTCAGCGCTGCCCGTTACCACCTGAATTTGTATATAAACGCCCAGTCCACTCGCAAGAGTTACGGAAAACGATTGTGTGCCAGCTCGGCGCATCACATCACGTAACTTTGCAGCCAAAACTGAACCTGTTCACTTCGAGTTCTGGCTCACAACAGTCCTCTCGTGATAATGGCATTATACCTCTATCTCTTCGCCTCTTCAGTACGTTACACAACTTCAGCGCTAGACGCGTTGCTCGACACTGTAAATGCGACAATGACATCGGACACAACACACAACCCCTGCAGAAAGGGTCATTCTCTCGGTCGATGTGCATTAGTGCAGTTGCAACTTATACCACGGATACATGTTCTCATTCTACCTGTGCCGACTTTGGCTATTGGGTCCCCTGTATCAAAATATGTGCTGGTTGGAACCCTCTGTGAGATCGTTCTTGTGAACCTGTGAGCGAAATTTCCAGCCAGGCTTTGAGTCCTGGGGCTCCTTCATGTAAATGTATTATTATCATCGCTAATTGACGTCAATGTCCATTAAGGGAATTAGGGGATACTCCACTAATTGAAAGTCGAATTTCGTTATAACTGCTTGCTACCGCTGGTTCTGGACCTCTATCTGCCCTTTGCCATGCTCAGTGGCAAACTGCCCACTGAGAGGTACAAAGTGTTTCACTAAATGCAGCAAGTTACATCGAAAGGTAAGGTTCTTCTCATGTGATGTTTTCTCGAAATACCGCTGCACACAATTCTCTTTGACAATCAGCCCTTTTGGCCAATCATGGGCCGACGAGTGGTCTCGTTTTAACGCAATAACAAAATGTGCTTTTTGGTCGATTTCTGCAGGGTTGCGCAAATGTCGAACGCACATGGCCCTCAAATAAGATCTGAACGGGTGCGGTATGGCTATCGATAATGTAAATGCACAATCGTCATCGTTTTTCGTCCATTCGTTGGTTCATTCGCTTTGATCTGTGATTCGGCTGGCCGGGGGCAGCGCCGCACAACGAATAAGGATCATAAATAATAGCCGCTACCGGTCGCGCCGCATATCTTCCGTGTATATCACGAATTACCGAAACGAAACGACGGCCTTTTGGACTGGAATGGAATATAATCGATCGGCACTCTGGCGCGGTGCAGAGCGGCGCGCGGCTGGTTGTCGAACGGGCGAGCGCCGTGCGACCACATCGGTCACGCTTTTGACGTATCGCATACCTACCCGGGTGTGCCTCCTCTGGTCACGGTCCGGGAGGTCAAATCGGCGGCGATGTTTTATTAAATGTGCAATTTGTAGGAGCTCAACCCGGCGCTCGCTAAGGGCGCGTTCAATATGGGCAACTAATTATTTACAAATGGGGTTCTGCTTTAATTTTAGTTTCTCAGTGGCTTTATTATTACAATTCGTCCTGTGCCTTCTCCATAAAACAAACCAAAATGTATATAGTGTGCGCAGACTCGCGTAATGCAGTTTAGTTATGACGTACTTGGAAATGAACACTGCAATTTATAATTGAATTTTTGATTCGTTTCGTGTAAATATACTTTTTTGTGGACTCGCATTGTATCGCAGTCAAATTAATTTACATCCATGTTTGTCCTCGAAATACGTATTTTTCGGTACGCACGAGGCACAAGGCGTTGCATATTTTAGTAAATTGTAATCACTCGCCCACGCCAAAATGATTACAGCTTTCGCAGGTTGTGTATTGGAAAAGCTGGAAGAAAGTAACGTGATGAACATTATGGAACACTTCCGATCGTAAGATGTGGGTGGCATGCTTTTGTTCATCCTTGGCTTCAGCCGAAGCACAATTATTAAATATGCAAGAAAACATACATAAATAAGAAGGAGTTGTTTCAGTCTGGAGCTAGAGCCGTCGAGAGCATCGACGAAATACGAGCAGCACACTGGAGTAAAAACGTACTTTGGTAGTGGTATAATCTTCGTGCATTTTTGAAATGGATGGGAAATTAAATGTTTGGATTTTCTCATTAATATTGCAATTATAATCCACAGTTGATGCAACCATTTTACAGGTTGTTATCTATTTTCGTTTTTTCGTTTTAATTTTCACATTTGTCGAATTGGGTAGTACCGTCTTGGCAAGAGCATTTGTCAACCTCATTGCTTTTGTGCTGTTAGAGGGTAAAAATCTTTCTGTTTGTCGGTAGGTTATGTTGCCACCGACGGTATAAATTGTAACAAAAGCGAATGAGCGGCGATAAAAAGTTTGAAGGGTTTTCGGAGGGCCGCCTCTTCAAATATATAAGACGGCGACTAGACGATGACAATGCGCGCCGCGGGAAGGAGTTGAATGCGAGGGCGCATTCCGAAATTTTCGCGTGCCGTCGTAGGTTTGAAATTGCACGCAATAAAAACCCTTGTGCGTCGCGTTGCAAGAAAAATAGCGGCGGAAAATGTAAAGTTGCTATTTAAAAAAATAAAACGGGCAACATAATTTTTAAAACGTAGGGTGGCGCGACGAGGACACGTCGTGTTCATGGCGATGGGCGACGCCCCCGTCCGGAACGACGAGGACGTCACCGAACGGCCAGGTTTATTGTGACGCGCGCCTTTATTAAACTCATCCTCGGGATACGTTCCTGTCGCGTGTCGCTCGCGCTAGTGTTGTGCGAACGCTTCTAACTATATGACATAACTAACCAGCCGACAAGAAAAGGAGACGGAAAAGATGTCATCGCGCGCCAGTTTGGGGGGACAATTTTCACAACTCACCAGCCTGCGTCGAAGCGAGAGACGTCGCATGGCTGGCGATATGCTTGATTCGCCCGACAACAACGCGCTCACTGAATGCGCGCTTTGAAAACGAGCGTTTTACACTTGCGAATGAAAAAAGGCGTACTTTTCTGAAAAGAGGGAAATGCTGTCGCAAGGAAATTAAGAATATAACAGCGAATTGCACTGTTACAACGTTGACAATGAAGACAAAATTAAGAAGTGTAATGTACGATCTTAATAAAACTTGAATTTGCAAACGTTGAAATCGGTCAATAAAAGAAAATTGAATGTTTGTTGATAAAGTTACGAATTTATTAGAAAATTCCTCCGTTTGAAATGGACATGGCAATAATTTAGCAGTTAGCCTAATATTTTATCTCCTTAAATAACATTGGGGCTGAAGCCATCATGTATCGGGGCTTACTGTGGGGTGTTTTCGGGTTTGCCTGATGATGATGCGAAGGACGCGTAGAGCTGGCCGCACTGGGCGATTGAGATTTCGGTTAGCGCCACGTTGCAGAGCGAAAATATAGTGAAGACCTTTGGACCTTCGACGATTGTAAATCAGGACGGAGCACGCGGGTAGACCGACTACCACCCTAACGCGAATATATGGCTGTCACGAGTTATATTCCGAGATTGAAATGTCCGAACTGCCGCGACTCGCATGAAGTCGAATAAGAGAAATCGCTAAACTGGAACTGGGACGCAACTGGGGCCGGTTGCATGTAACCAAACTTACCGATTTTGGCAATTTGCGATCGGGGATTTTTGCACGTTCAGCAATATTGCATGTCGATATTGGATGAACTGCAAATTATGCGCAATTTATTTACTTAATATATAATTTTTGCATGGCTTAGTATTTTTTAAATTATTATTATTATGTAACAACGCAATCATGCAAATTAAGTAACAGGTGTTGCGCGATTCGCAAACACTGTCATTGGTGTGCCGTGAACTTGGTGCGCGTCTTAGGTCGGAACGCGCGATCGCATTTCTGCAATTCCAAAGCCTGCTCAGTAAATCGGAGCGGAGCGAAAAGCAGTGCACGGATAACTGTACATTCTCGATGGACATTGGCATTATTACTCCGATTCACTAGCTTGTAAGCGAGCGAGCGGGCGCAAATCAGAAGGAAAGGTGCAAAACCGTTCGAAATGCGATTTCGACCGGACTAAACGTAAAGCGTTACGAGATCGCTTCGATGGAATGGAACGGAATGCTGCCTCGGATATGTTGCAGCAGCATGTTGCGTGTGCGTCTCTTAAAAGATCTTGGAACGCGATCGTCGAGAGGTGACCAAAAAGTGTACGGTACTTCCTGAAGCATAATTCGGAAATCGTTTATGCTGCATTTAAAATATCACTTTGAACAAAATTTATTTCCTACAATATTTATTATCTTTATTCACGCTCATAATTTTAATTAATTGTGTTTAGTGTAATTAGAGTTAAATCACCAATTACAAATTTAAAAAAAGCTGCAAATGTGCTGAATATATCGACACCCGTGTACTTCGGTTGCATTGAAAATTAATTAACCATTTTCGTATTGTCAACAGTGACCAACTTTCAGTACAGTTCTGTTTGTTTGTTGCCGATGTGTGTGCACAAGTCTATATTATGAATTTATGCGGTGGCGAATTGAGTATTATTAATTAATTAATTAATGTCGGTCCTTTAATTCAATTTGCACCCGCGTTCCGCGTCATAGATTGAACCCCGGTCTCTTGCCCCTGCACAATTAGGCGTCGAAGCATATTTCAGGTGTATTAGGAATTCAGCCAACGAACGGCATGTGTGCCCATAACGCCGAGTGCTGCGAAATATTAATTTTAATCACCAGAATGGACGGATCTTATGGCTAAGTGATACCTGATTTTCTAATTAATCAGATCATTAATAAGTCATTTGCCTAATCGCGTTAAATATGTTATGGGTTTAATTGATTTGAATTCAATTATTTTAGAGATTGCAATGAATGTATTTGTAATGTTTCTGTTTTTCTGTTGCAGTTTTTCCACATCGACTGAGAGTGTACCACACAATCACTGTGTTCAAATGCATTGACGACACAGAAATTACTTCACTGCCATTACGACTGCTTTGACTTAAGGTAGGAGGCCGTTTTGATTACTTCAACTTCGTATACGCAAATGGAAAACGTTTTTCCACGCGTTAAAACTGCGCAAACGAATAAAGTCTCATCTCATCCTTATTCGATGCTTTTTGCTAAACATTGGCGGCGTGCACACAAAAAAAACAGCCCCGCCGATCTTACAACGCACGCGTTTGCGCCAGTAAAAACATCTGAAGCACCTACTTGTCAACTGGAAACCGCCGCCGATGTTTTGTTGCGTTTTTGTTTCTCAGTCGCGCCTGTCGCTCTCCGGGCGAATATTTTCAACTTTCTGTTCGTAAGTCGTATTTAGTTTAAGTGTAGGTACACTTGAGCTCGCGAGGTTTTTGCATTTTCCATCGCGCGCGGTCGCCGCAGCACTCGAAACTTTTCTTTCGCTCCACACCGCTTTTACTTTGTATTAGAGTTCGTTTGTGACCCAATCTGTAGGAACTGAGGCATCCATCTATATTCGTGAGCTTCGAACCTTTTCTTTTATTTGAGTTTTTCTTGTTCGTTTTCGGTACCGCCGCCTTATGCAAAATGTAGGGAAACGCGCCCGAGAGCAAACCTTTCACACAGACTGGTAACATCGAGACAAAAACTCGAACCTGAACAAATGCGATGGGAAAATCTGTTCAGTTTCTTTGTCAATGGTGTTACCACTGACTTTGTTGCTATTCGACAATGTTGGCTGTCCACGTTGAGTTTTATTTCGTCCTGAATTTAATTGTGAACTTTTGTGGACACGTGTAAAACTTTTTAATTTGAAACCATATTGTTCGACATTGTTGATGAGCAATATTTATAATTAACAGAACTTTCGCATATCGTAAAGTTGAGTTGAAATTAATATTGAATCGATCATAGTTCGCGATTGTTTGACGGCTTTACAAAATAAAATACCACACCGTTTACAAGCCAAGGGCACTTTAGTTTACGTAAAATGGAAACACTTTGGTGTGTAATAATCGAATAAACTTATTTTCCAAATACGTGTACTAGATAAATAATTAAAATTATACCATGTGTATTATTTTGCTCTTGTAGCTGAAAGTTGTACTCTTTAGGCGCATTTATGTTGTGGTAATGATACATTTTCCCTCCATCTGTGAATTTTATTTCGCAGAAAATTTGGCGTGTATTATTTGGTAATTACACCCAAAAACACACCGTCTGCCCCCGTTTGAACGAGTCGCCCAAAAAGCAAACGTATATAAATTACTCATAAACATGTTTTTTTTTCCTGCAAATTTAAATAAAGCTTTGCGACCATACGCAATTTAAATATGAAAAGAATTGTTATTCTTTTGCGCGGCGAACGTGCAACATGTACATGGGTGGAAAAACACCCGACGAATGAAGAACAAAAAGAAAGAAAGTTTTATTAATTTAAATCCACCTCGAGGTATCATGCTCATTTCCTTGGCGTGTTCCGGAATGCCGTAACGGGAACACCAAAAGCTGGCATCACGACACAGAGCAAACCGAAACATTTTCACCGACAACGTTCTCGCAAAATACCCACATAAATGGACCTGTGTTTGCAGGAAGATGCATACTGCTCGCATTATTTCTACTCACACCGGCGGTCTGTTTTTTTTTCCTGGAATACTTTACGTCTGGAGTCGCTCGGTTTAGATAGAAAATAAGAACGAAAAAGCCGCATTGCACATGTTCGCTTTGCTTACGTGTCGCTGCGCCGAGCTACACTACTGGCAAGCAGCCGGAACGAAACCAAAAATACTAACATTGCTCCCCAATTCCAAACAATTTTAAGTCATTTCAAGGTACCTGAACATTCTTGTAGTTGCAGAATTCTAACTTAAACGAAAAAGCGTTTATTTAACTTTTTGCAAGGGTTATCTCATGGTCAAGATCATATATATTTGTGTTATGAATGCTGTGTCCATGGTTGTCGATTTTTTAGATTGCGCGTTTGTTATGCAACAACAAACACGAATGCTCAGTACTGTGCAAAAAATCGGCACCAAGCTTGGACAGCAATTTCAATTTATAACGAATAAAAGGAAATGTCCAGGCTGCCATGCGCGCGGGTAGGTATGACACAAACACAGCTACACGAATATAACACAAAAGGCTGGATGCTAGCGATAATTTTTACTATCTAGCCCCCTCACAAAACAGCAGAACGAGCAGAGTTTCGAATAATAAATAAATCACGCTGCGATGGTTTATAGTCTTTTGATTGCCCGCGTTTGGGTTGGCCGGGATCTCTCGTGCACGACTTGCTTGCATCCAGCGAATTGCCTAAAAACAAAAAAAAAAGGACGATATAGTCAAATATACAAACATTTTTTGTGTATTCGGTCGGCTGCTGCCGGCGTCGGGTTGTGCCTGGTTTCGCCCGGGTCGTGCGGCTACCCTCGTGTGATGTCTTCCTGTTTTGTTGACCCAAAACGTTCGTAAAATATACGGTAAACCAAGATTTAATATAAACAGCCTCGATGAGCGTTAAACCGATTTTTTTTGTTGATGGTTTATCTTGTGTCTGATATTGGAATGGATTTAAATACTTTATTATTCGTAAAATTTAATGTAAATTGTTATCGAATATTCTCGAACATAAACAATAACCAACTTAATGACTACTCGAAGTGTTAATACCTCCAGTTTACAGTTTTTGTAGTCAACATTTTTAAGTAGACACATCTCAATAAATTATGAATTACAATTTGTTATCCTCCAGGTGTAGTTTTATTAGTATTGCATTAATCCAAGACTATACAAGCTTTCTCGACACTCATCTTTTATTGCCACAGCATACTAATATAATTTTAATTTTTATTGTGGCATTATTTTCGAGTAACATCTTTTCTAGGATATTTTATGGAGCGATTAAATCTTATCGTGCGTCTGGAATCGCCGTTAACAGCTCTTTATTTGTTCTTTTGCCCTTGAAGTGTCTCGTGACGTTTCTTACTAATGCAACACAATGGCTCAATGGACATATTTTTATATATAATTACTAATAATTCATTTTTATTTTGGTTATGCACAGTTTTGATTTTATAAGCGTAGTAGACTTGAGATTCTGCAATTCGACAATTATTAATCTTTATTGGTACATTAGCCAGGCGTATTTGATCCGCATCAAGAGTAAAATGTAGAGGTAGTCAACCAGCAGATGTATGAGCGTGCTGGGAGCACTGGGAAAATAGGCAGGATCTAGTTGGGGTAGAGCGTAAAGATGTATGTACAGCAGATGAAATAAGTCTTAAGCCGAAGGTGGAAAGAAACTCCTTGTTGTAAGCTGGTTGCAGTGCATTCGAGAGTTTCCTGAATGAATCCGTTGTTGGTGAATCTATTTTTCTCCTCCGTTGCTCCCAGAAACAGTACGGAATGGAAATAAATTGTTAATATATTCCACCAACCCCGAAAGTTTTCTGCACACGCAACACCTGATCATGAATCTTAATTTTAGTGCAAGTTTTAGGTTGTCCCCATGTTGATATCTGAGCCCATGCACGAATGTCCCGTATTTTCGAAACACTCTGCTGGGATATTTGTAGATATAGATGAGTTTCAATAGGGTATACCTACTCAGTCCGGGCGACTATGGGTTACGAGGTTCAGGTTCGACGGCGCTTAATGTGCGCAATGTGTCGGTATGTGATGTGGGTAAATATGTGAGGGCGGCGACGGCGGGTAATCCCGGTCTCGTTTCACCGGAAATTGTGAGAGTTATTACGTGAAGAAGGTTTGGGAATACGCTCCGGCTCGCCTGCACAGAGAGCAAGCGCATGTACGCCGGTAGTACTTCCCTGTGCGCCAACCCCCTTTACACTCTGGAGACTTTTGTCTTATCGTTTAGTCTTCTTTCTGTGCTTATTTAGACTGCTTACTCGCGATACTAAAACGCTGACGGGAGAGCTGGGCCCACTGATTGGATCAGGCAAAACATGCGGAAAGGGTTGAGGATAAGACATCGTTCTTAAACCGATGATGTTAATGGCAATCGTAGCATCCGGCTCTTTGTACATCTCATTTAATAAATGAGTGAAGTATGTTTTTAAAAATAAATTTTGATAAAAATTGTATTAAATCAAGAAATTTTCGTTTTTCGTAACATTTTGTTATAACAAACGAGTCGTGTGGTTGTTTTCTTTTGTCTGTGAAAATGTACCATCGTAGCGACGTGAAAATCGATATTAATTAGCACTTACTAATTAATAATGCATTTTTTGCAAGCACGTTGCCCCTCGAAGATGGCGGTTCTGGTATTCACATTTTTGCGTTTATTAAATTAATGTTTGTTCTACGCGAATCCGGCAGTCCGGGCGGGCAATGCACGCGAGTACTCGGAAAAGCACGCCGCAAACCGACAACCAATGGGTAGCATATCTTTTTCATTAATTTTTTTCGCCGGTTGGCTTTTCATTTTTCATTCGCGCCCGCTTTCGTCTTTTCCCCAGACACATTTTTACGCGCGTTTTAATTAATTCCCTTTTAATCTCTTCGAATATTTCGTGATTATGCAGGAATGTATACTCATGTTTCCAAACAGATTGGCGCCCTTTTCCTGTCGTGCATTCACTTTGCGGTTATTTTTCACGACGTGCCTCTTTTGTTTTTCCTTCGAGTTTTTTTTTAAACGCTGCGCCTTCCATTTTCTTTTCAGCACTGTCACATTACCATTCGTTCTTATGATTTCGCGGGGAAGCGACGACGCTAGTTGGCAGCGGTTCCGCTTGAATGTCGATGTGAATCATGCGTTCGCTTTGCTTGCGGCGCGCGGATGGTAGTAGGTAGTCGCATGCACACTTTTGACGATAGTTAATAACGCTATTTATATTCCACCCCCGAACGTTTCGTTGGCGCGCGCGATGCACGGTGCGGCGTGCTCCTCGAGTACATACGCATTTTTCATACCGTGAGTGTGCTTCATGCGTTCCGCTCCTTCGGCTTATTTCAACGTCTGTTGCCGCCATAGAAGTGTGCGCGTCGCGGTGCCAACTGCCATTTTGCGCGCGCGA